CCATCAGTACAACACACACAACCATCAGTACAACACACAACCATCAGTACAACACACAACCATCGGTACAACACACAACCATCGGTACAACACACACAACCATCGGTACAACACACACAACCATCAGTACAACACACACAACCAGTCAGATCCCAGCAGCTCTACAAACATTTTGGAGGGAAAACTTCAAACAACTTCAAAGGGCAACAGTTTAATTCTAACTGAACCTAAAGTTTTTAAACATAAAGAAAATTAACATTATAATTTATGCAGCACAGAAAATATGAGAACTATTATGAACATCATAGACTTCACTAAGAGTGGGGGCAGCATTGCTGCAGCATTGCTTCTGCTGCAGCAGAACCCCACTGTGTGCAGCACCAATAACCGTCCTCCCAGAACAACACCAGGAACCAAAACATGTCAACTCAACAAAAAAGTGTTTTGAGAAAAGTTCATAATGATTATAAAAAATAAATAAATCAACTCATCTACACCAGCAGAGCAGCTTCTGTTCCTGAGACACATGATGCTGCTGCTGCTGCTGCTGCAGCACATGATGTTGCGGCACACAATGCTGCTGCAGCAAGAGATGCTGCAGCACATGACGGGTCAGGGTGCTGCAGCATCAGGGACTTCCCTACAGCTTGGCTGAAAGCAGAACTCGTCATCTGGTTTCCCCTCTGCAGCCTGGAGGGTTGCAGCTGCAGCAAGGTCCCAGGGGTCAGAGGTCAGCCAGCAGGGAGCTGCAGCAAGGTCCCAGGGGTCAGAGGTCAGCCAGCAGGGAGCTGCAGCAGAACCTGGTGGAAATAAATTCATGTCAACCAGAATCAGAACCAGAAATAGCAGCTGGTCACATGATGCCATCAGTAGAGACCTCAAAGTTATCAGCTGCAGCAATCAGAACCTGCAGCAGAACCGGCTCAGCCGAACCCGACCCGACCCGACCCACTAACCACTTCCTGTCTATCTGAGCTGCTTTGTTTAGAAACGAGGCCAAGATGAAGACGAAGATGAAGATGAGACGCCCCGAGCCGCCACCGGCAGGAAAACGGGTCACATGACCACCAGAACCTTCTGACCCAATCAGGCCTCAGCCTTGGTTCTGCTGGGCCTGGCTGTGGTTCTGTTTCCTTGGAGACGACATCCTCTGCAGCAGGGCATGCTGGGAAAGCAACGGCTGGGCCGGGTCGGTTCTGGTTCTGTTCGGAAACCAGAACCGAACAGTTCAGATCAAACTGAACAATATTCCACATGTTCTGGCTCGTACTCGGTTCTGGTTCTGGAACTGGTTCTGGTCCAAACTGTGTCTCTGCTGCAGGTGACGGTGCTGAAGGTTCTGATTGTAGGAGACGAACAGATATAACCGGGCCCATACGGGTCGAGAGAGAGAGAGAGAAAGCTCCCTGACCTCTGACCCCAAAACTGAAATATAACTTCAGGTGGAAACTTGAAGAGTTTTAGTTCATTTCACCAACATGATTCTGAGAGATCAGACCCGCGTCCATGGAGACGGGTCCGGTTCTGCAGGTTGTTTTGTGGCAGCAACCCGACCCGGTTGGTTCTGTCTGGCCAGTTGCTGTGGTTACCGTGCTGCATTCAGGGTTCAGGAGGTCAGAAAATTCTGGAGAAGGAAAACATCCCAGAGGAACCAGGAGGAAGTCCTGAGGGTCCAGGAGGTTCTGGAGGTTCTGAGAGGTTCTGGAGGTTCTGAGAGGTTCTGGAGGTTCTGAGAGGTTCTGAGAGGTTCTGGAGGTTCTGCAGGTTCTGAGAGGTTCTGGAGGTTCTGAGAGGTTCTGGAGGTTCTGAAAGGTTCTGAGAGGTTCTGAGAGGTTCTGGAGGTTCTGGAGGTTCTGAGAGGTTCTGAGAGGTTCTGAGAGGTTCTGGAGGTTCTGAGAGGTTCTGGAGGTTCTGCAGGTTCTGAGAGGTTCTGGAGGTTCTGAAAGGTTCTGAGAGGTTCTGAGAGGTTCTGGAGGTTCTGGAGGTTCTGAGAGGTTCTGGAGGTTCTGGAGGTTCTGAGAGGTTCTGGAGGTTCTGCAGGTTCTGAGAGGTTCTGGAGGTTCTGAGAGGTTCTGAGAGGTTCTGGAGGTTCTGCAGGTTCTGAGAGGTTCTGAGAGGTTCTGGAGGTTCTGGAGGTTCTGAGAGGTTCTGGAGGTTCTGCAGGTTCTGAGAGGTTCTGGAGGTTCTGAGAGGTTCTGAGAGGTTCTGGAGGTTCTGAGAGGTTCTGGAGGTTCTGAGAGGTTCTGGAGGTTCTGCCTCTCCAACCTGAACCGGCTGTTGGGCCTCTGCTGCTGCTGCAGCTGCAGCTGCTGCAGCCGCTGCTGCTGCAGCTGCAGCCGCTGCTGCTGCAGCCGCTGCTGCTGCTGCTGCTGCAGCCGCTGCTCCTGCTGCTGCTGCTGCTGCAGCCGCTGCTGCTGCTCTCTCCTCCCCCACCAAACCGCAGCCTGAGGTTCGTATCTCTTCTCGGCATCAAAAACATCTTCAGCTGCGGTTTGGACTCTGTTCTGGTTCTGACGGATCCGAAGAGTTGAGAGGAAACGTTCTGGATGTGAAGGCGGCAGAAACCTCATCGTGACAACCAGCAAAGTTCACCTGAAACATTCCAGGTCATCAAAAGTGACCTGGAATGTTTCCTGGATTCTTTCAAGGCATGTTTAAGACATCCTTGAATCTCCATGGCAACCAGTCAGCCGCTAAACACCTGGGTGGATTAAGCCCCGCCTCCGAGACAGAGCTCCTTCAGACTAGCCAGCAGCAATTAGCGAACAGCTGCTGAGCTCATTAAAGGAGATGCTGCTGGTGAAAGGGTTAATAGAGGAGCCATGTTGGGACGACTTCCTGGAGGCGGAGCTTCTTAAAGAGACAGAGGCATTAAATCAGTAAGTCAGATTTATTGAGTCATATTTGATGTAGTAACAGGTAGATGGCGCTGCCCCTTTAAAGTCCAGCAAAATCCTTCATGTTTTGTATCAATTGAACCCTGACCTGATCCTGGACCGAGTCGTTGCCATGGCGATCCATCAAGGCATCTGAACATGGAAAAGCTGGTTTTAATGTGATCTAACAAAACATTAATTCATGAATTCATTCATAACTCATTCATAACTCGTGAACCAGAGAAGCTTTGAATCCATGAAGGATCAGAAGATTTCAGCCTGACATGACAGAATGGATGCTGAGCAGCAGGAGAACCAGGAGCTGCAGGAGAACCAGGAGCTGCAGGAGAACCAGGAGCAGCAGGAGAACCAGGAGCTGCAGGAGAACCAGGAGCTGCAGGAGAACCAGGAGCAGCAGGAGAACCAGGAGCTGCAGGAGAACCAGGAGCAGCAGGAGCTGCAGGAGCAGCAGGAGAACCAGGAGCTGCAGGAGAACCAGGAGAACCAGGAGCTGCAGGAGAACCAGGAGCTGCAGGTTGCAGCAGGACGTCCCTCCTGCGGAGCAGAGCGTCTCTGAGCCGCAGCACTTCCTGCTCCTCCTCTTCCTCCTCGCCTTCATCAGGCCTGCAGCTTCAACCTGCTGCTGCGATTCTCAACAAAGGTGATGTTGATGCACGGCGTGCAAACGGAGCTGAGAAATGACTCGTCACCACATCCTCTTCCTGCAGCCTCATCCTCTGACAACAAGCAGCTCCAGCTGAGCAGAGGCCTGCGGCGCCCCCTGCTGGGGAAACAGGGCTTGGTCGAGGACCAAAAACACGAGTCAGAATATCAGGTTCAAGTAGAAATAACCTCCATATCAGTAAAAAATCTGCTGACATCTTGAAAAACTGATGAAATGATCAATAATTGAATATTATCTGGACCCACTGGACCTATTGGACCCACTGGACCTATTGGACCCACTGGACCTATTGGACCCACTGGACCCGTCCTGCCTACAGTCAGTGGTCAATATTCCATTAATGTCGACCAGAAATGTCATCATTGTGTTTTTCAATAAGAATCTATTAAAACCATTAGAAACATGCGGCGCCTCGTCCTCCCGTCACTTCCTGTCCTCGTCTTCTTCGTGGTTGGCGCCAGCGGCAACTTCCGGTCGGTGGTCATGTGACTCGTGTGGAATCTGCTTCTATTGCAGTTTGATGAAAAAAAAAAAAAAAACTTTATCCTGAAGTTTCTATTATAGAAAATTTATATTCAAGATGTGAAATTATGCAGCGACGTCTTGATTCTGGACGGTTGGAGGAACCTGGTCACTGGGAGTAGAACGGTACCGGCTGGTACCGGCCGGTACCGTTCTACTCCCAGTGACCAGGTTGGAGGGCGATCAGAGACAACGTGTCTTCCTCATTGTCTCCTCTCATCTGATGAACAGAACCTCGGCTCGGTTCTCAGACTCTCCAGCTTTTGATGTCTACTGTTGGTGGTTTGGACCTGAGCGGGTCGGCGGCCGATCAGAACCCTGCTGTGGTTCCGGGGGGGCCCGTGGGCCCCACAGGATGCCTGCTGGCGGCACCTGGCGGCTGCAGCTGCTCCAACTGCCGCGGTGGCGCTGGGAACCGCTGAGTTTCTGCTTCACAGCTCAAAACGTTTCCTGCTGTGGTTCTACTGGAAACCCAGCCCGTCCAGGACCGGAAGAGGTTCTGATCAGACGTCCAGGACCGGAAGAGGTTCTGATCAGACGTCCAGGTTCCTCCCAATGACGTCAGAGCAGATGAACATGGCGGACAGCTCCACAGTAACGCTTCATTACCCATAATCCATCTGGACCTGAGCGTCATCTGGGTCTACGGTGTTGAACAGACTGGTTCGGTTCGGCCCGGCTGGTTTCCCACATCAATCCTGGAGCATCAGAAACATAATAACTGTTATTAACAATCAAACCTCCAGCTGGACCCGGTTCTCCTGGTTCTGGAAGAATCCGTCCCAGAACGGACCGACGGGCCAGAAGAACTTTTCCTGGTTCCGTCCAACGTTCAGAAATCACAGAACAGGAAGTATTATGGGATGGACTGCAGCAGAAGTTATTTCAATCTTTTATAATCCAACAAACTCAAAGTCTGACAGAAATATTGAAACTTTATTACCGACAGAAAGTTCAGCTGGAGGAATCACACAGGAAGCAGACTAACATGCTTTTATTTTGGTAACTTCTGGTTCTGATCCGTGAGAAATCTGGAGGACGAAGAGTTCTGATTGGTTTAGAGTTCTGCTTCCAGCATTAGGTGGGTTCTGGTTCTGGTTGAGACAGCGGGATGGGGACGGATCTTCTACTCAACATCCATCTGGAAGAACCTGGAAATGACCTTTAACCCTCCTGGGGCAGCGGCTCCACCCCTTCCTCCGACTAAACCTAGAGGGAAGCAGAACCGGACCGAACCGCAGCCCGGTTCTGCTGGAGGGTCAGAGGTCGACCCGGAAGAACCAGAGGAAGGAAATGAAGACCGAGCATCAGTCTGGGGGGCGGGGTCAGACCCGGACCAGGAAGTCCAGCCCCAGGGAGGCGGGGTCAGACCTGGACCAGGAAGTCCAGCCCCAGGGAGGCGGGGTCAGACCCGGACCAGGAAGTCCAGCCCCAGGGAGGCGGGGTCAGACCCGGACCAGGAAGTCCAGCCCCAGGGAGGCGGGGTCAGACCCGGACCAGGAAGTCCAGCCCCAGGGAGGCGGGGTCAGACCTGGACCAGGAAGTCCAGCCCCAGGGAGGCGGGGTCAGACCTGGACCAGGAAGTCCAGCCCCAGGGAGGCGGGGATGTCCACGGCCTCCAGGCTGAGGGCGGACGGCGTGTAGGGGAACAGGACGGGGAAGGTGTGCTTGGTGTCCAGCAGCAGCTGCGGCGGGTCGTTCCTGTCCTGGAGGACGCTCTGCAGAGACAAACGGTCAGGTTGTCTGAGGAGGAATCAGGGCCCAACTGGGACCAGGTCGGCTCAGACTCACCTGAATGTTTCTGATGAAGGACACGGTGACTCGCTCCTCGAACTCGTTCAGAGGCGTGTAGAGGTTCAGGATCTTCACGATCTGCAGGAATCAGACAGGAAGTGGTCACAACCTGCTTCCATGTTCCGGTCCGCCAGTCGGACCTGAGCCGGCTCCTCCCAGGAGAATGTTCCAGATGTTTCTTTTCTAAACTTGACTCCATCAGCTGACCTTCCTCAGCCAACCGGACTCTGGAGTTCCTCACGGTTCTGTTCTTGGTTCTAATTGTTTCTGCTTTTCCTGCTTTTCTTTTATTGTTTTATAAAATCTTCATTGCTGTTGTGTTTATAACATTCATGTTTCTTTGATTCCCTTTATATGTTTTTGGAATAGGACAAATTTTGTGACAGTCGACCTAAACGGTGCTGTTATGTAACCTGTGAGTTTTGCATGGCACATTGCTGCCACCTGCTGGACTTCCGGGGAAATGTTTTACGTTTACGTCATGTAGTCAGTTTGTTAACAGCAGAGAGGATGTTCGGATGGATACATTGTGAATGTCGTGTTAAGATCGAGTTCTTCGACACAATGCCTGTATGTATATTTAAAAATGAGCGTTTATGTTAATGTGTGTGTAACAAAGCAAGTTATTTATTGAATTTATGTTGTTCCTGTTGTGGCAGTTTCACTCCATTCTACATGAATAAAGGAAGAGCCGTTTAATCCTGACTCGCGTAAAAGGAGTTTGTCTGACGGTTAGCTTGGTTCAGGACACCATAGGGAGACCGTTACAGGGGGAAAGTCAAGAACCATCAGGAGAACCATCAGGAGAACCATCAGTAGAACCATCAGGATCCGTTCAGAGCTGATTAAACTATTTTAAACTAAAAGGGAAAACAGGATCTCGTGCTCTGCGATCGATTATTTTGGTCTTTCAAGTTCGGATACAGTGAAAGGCAGCCAAACATTAATGGAGTTCAAAAATATATTTTTTGTTAATCTTTGTTTATAATTCTTGAAAAGTTCAACATTTAGATTGTAAGTTTTCGAGTCTCGATTGTTTTTGTCTGATGGAAACTAGGAGAACGAAACGATTCTGCTCCATTATTCCACTGGATATGAAATAATGAAAACACAGGGGCACAACACGACCTCTGACCTGCTGACCCACTGACCTGCTGACCCTCTGACCTGCTGAACCTCTGACCTGCTGAACCTCTGACCTGCTGACCCTCTGACCTACTGACCCACTGACCTTTTGACCCACTGACCTGCTGACCCTCTGACCTGCTGACCCTCTGACCTGCTGACCCTCTGACCTGCTGACCCTCTGACCTGCTGAACCTCTGACCTGCTGACCCACTGACCTGCTGCAGGGTCAGAGCCGTGCACAGCGAGCAGATGGCCTCGGCGTCCTGAGACGTTTTCTTCTTGACCTGCAGCAGCTGTGCGGCCTGGATGATGGGCTCCAGCGTAGCCGAAGCTTTGCTCTGGAACAGGTTGTTGGCTCGCAGCCACTCCTCCAGCTGACTGGTGTTGTACCTGAACAATCAGACAGGGGGCAGCGGTCAGACTCCAGCGGTCGGACCTGAACCTCCGGTCTCCAGGCGGTTCTGGCGGTACCTGAGCTGCATGCCGGTACTCCAG